TATATATATTTATATATTGCAAATCTATGACTCATTCAGACTAAGTCACAACAGTCCCATTTCAGGTGACACACAAGGATTTGTGTAAATGAGCATTTCACTTGAATCACATTAAGTATTCTTTTGTGCGTTTCTGAGATACTTTGACTTGCACTGAATCAACTTTCTGTTGCTCAAGGAAATGCTACTTCTGGGATGCTGGTTATGAATTGCATTGAGCTGCTTTGAGTTGCTTTTGTATTTGCATTTCTCTGCACTTAACCTTACTTCACACATTACTAAATCAGACCCAACTACTTAATCACCAAACAAACTTGCTGAATCAGTTGACTTTCTTTTACTTTGCAAGCCCAGCTTTGGTTAGTTTGCTTTTCCCCAAAGTAGCCATTTGGCAGAGATACATTTGACCCTACCATGAAAAATACATGCTTACAAATACATGGTTACAAATACAAGTTTAAATACAGCAACATAAATAATGATTAGACATCAATAATTAACACACATATATTTGCATTATTAATCTATTGAAAGCTGTTGTACCTGTTGAATAGTTATCGGTTTGAGGAAACGGACAAGGGTCATGAGGTATTTTCTCCACAGGCACTGAGGATGGCAATCTATAAAATACAAATTCTGTATTAGTGAAACAAACTATTTATTTTTGAGTATTTGCTACAGTGCATATTGTATTAAGCACATGCCAGCATCACATGAGACCTATGGGCTCAAGTTTTCCTCTCTATCAGCAAACCAAGTTAAATTATATTTAGAATTAACTTGCAATATCAGCTAATGTACTCAATATTTCAGTTATCACAGCCTATAGGACTGGTGTGGATATGCTAGCATTTGTAAGTGGAATCAACATTTGCACTGTACAAGGAGACATGTGTTTTTAGCAAAGTCTTTGTGTATCTACAACCTCCAAGTTTTACTATAATTTCAAGCCTAAAAAAGAAACAATTCATTGAACTGAGCTACAAGGCTCTGTGCCACAGACTTCGAAGCATGCAGATACCTTTAAAAAATGTATGTGTTACTTGAATGCATTCAATTTTAAGATGACACAGTGCAATTTAATTACAATAATTGTAATCACAGTACCATAAAAACGCATAAGGCTCATCTAAATCTTAACACACAAAATACCCATTTTGCTAAATTCCTCTATAATCACAGAACCATAACACTAAATTCAAACATTAATGATGCATTTACTAAACAGCTTTTATAGTCTGCCGAATACCAACTTTGCCAAGCTGACTAAATGAAAAAAAAAAATGATTGCTAAAGGATCGCCTCTCTAGAGCTCATCTACTTTCAGTTAAATTTTTTGGTTTTACAACATCAGTTCAACATTTACAACATCAGTAAAACTGGTGTTAAACCCATCAACACAACACTAATTCCACCCTGAAAAGTTATATTTTTTTTTAATGTTGCATGCAACAGACAGAAATCTGCTTTATGGGTTTCTTCGTGTTAATGTCAATACTAATGAAAGAGGCATTGGAGATGTAAATGGTAATGTACTATGCAATGTCTTTTATGAATTAATGTCTTGTTTCTGATATGAAAGCAGTTGGAACAGATCATTGTTTATAGGATACAAATGACTTGTCCTACTTCTATGGATTATTTGTATAGTGTATAATACTAAACAGTTTGAATCTCCTACTCTTGTCAGAAGATTTACTAGATTTACTAAAAGAGTAGATATTGTTCACTTTAGTTCAGTTTAGTCAAAAAGGGGAAGCTGCATTCATTTTGGTCATCCAATCATGTGCAAGATTTCTGTTTTTCTTCTTCTAATACAACTTCACCTTATTCACTAAGCTAAGTGCACCATATTTTTTCCAAATGAACATTTTTTACCCGTCCGGCAAGTCAACCACAGTGTCAAACATAAATGTTATTCGTAGCTATGATTAATAGAAAAAACACCTTTTTGTAGCTTTGATATAGTTTTTTAAAGAAATTACATAATTCACAAATAAAGTATTTAACGCCCTTGCCATAAATCTAAGAAATACAGGAAGCATCAGCTAGGGTCAGCTTGGAGGGGTGGGGAAGGGGGGTTGTTCTCGTGTGAGATCAGGAAGACAAGTCCCTTGTAAGATTTAAGGTAGCATATAAAATGACTCCTATAAAAATATATTCTTTATGGAATTCTCAGAGATGTGGTAACTGAATATTAAGTATTAAAGAAAAAAAATTATTTAAATAAGACAGAGACAACTTACTGTTTTTCTGGCTGTACAACCGCAATCTTTCTCTTCTTTTTCACTTAAAAAGAATGAGTTGCACATTTTAAAATAGCATTTCAATCCCAATCAGTTTAATTAAGACTTCTACTTCTAAACTTTTCTAAGCTAAAATAAAAGCTATGAACTCAACTGGTTGACAATTTTAAACCCTGCTGTAGAATAAACTATACATCCAAATAAAATTGTATATGTTTTCTGTAAAATAATTTGTGAAATATATTGATATAACACATACATTTTCAAACACCTAGAGGGAAAGTAGGGAATGTTTCAATCAATTCCATAAGACAGACGTGACTTTATGCAATGACTTTGGCTGCTACAAAGAAGATGCATTTTAAAATATTATGTCTGTGCATGGTTACAAGTTAGGCCGTTTGCAGCATATGGAAAGATAGTAGAGCACTGGTGCTTTAACATTTTCTAAAGTAATGTCAAAAGTGTCCTCTGGAACTTCAACCATACACTTTCCCATTATCATGGACAGGCTTCTTAAACTTTTTCCACTCGCGACCCCTTCTCGCAGGAGGACATTTTACGTGACCCCGGGTATATAGGTATATAAAACAGGTATACAAATAAAACATTTAATAATAATAATAATAATAATAATAATAAATCATAAAAGAAATGTAATTTAAAACAATTCTTTGGTATACAAATTTTACCATTTATTAAAGAGGAAAGCAAATTTGCATACTAATTAGATGAAGTTGTTTTGGGTTTTTTTCACAAGGTTTCAAAGACTTTGCAGGAAACTGTAAGCAAGAGCAGAGGTTAGGTTGGACACAGTCTGATTCTGTCCTGAACTTTTAAAGCCCAGAAAACTGTGCTGTGTTGCCTGCTAACCCAGACCCAGAGTTGCTTACCACTTCAGAAGCCCCTGATCGTGACTGAGTCTTGCCCTGCTCTGCAGCACTTCAGTCCACTAAAAGGCAAGCTCCACTCCCCCTGTACGTACACAGGAAGGTACCAATACTACCAAGTGTACAGGAGGGGCCCGGGACCATACCAAGTTACAACCCTAGCCCCGTACACCGCAGCGGTGGCGGACCCTGCAAGTGCCACTCATTGACAGCTGTGTCCATGTACGGACACCTAGCCGATCCCTGCTGGGAATTCAGATTTTTCATCGTGACCCCATATCTGGTCACGACCCACACTTTAAGAAGCCCTGGTCTAGGACACCAAGAAATAAGTTTGCAACTTAAATGCAACTGAGGGCCCATTTAGATTAGTGCTCAGGGGTGATTTTTGTAGCATTATGCATGTGCTTTGTCTTGAATCAATGTGTGTTTCCTTTGTGCACTGACATGCATTGTTGACACTGACATGCATTGTTTGTGCACTGACACGCATTGTTATATGCATTTTGATGACAATTATTTTAAAGTGCGTAAACTAATAAAATTAATACTAGGACCCTATTTATGGTTTAGGGATGGGAGGGATTTTGGGTTGTCGTTTTCCTTGCTTTTTTTTTTTTTTAGTTGGGACCCCTGGGGGGTGGGGAGAATGATTTTAATACCAATGGGAAGGGAAATTGGTGGCTGTTTTAGGAAGAAGTTATGAATATCTTTATCTTCTGTTTTTGATTGGATTTCTCCCTGGGAGAGTCTTTTAACAGGATCTTCATATGTTTATATGTCTGTATTGTCTTTATATGTCTACTATATGTAACTATGTATTGTTATATATAGAAATAATAAAGAAATATTATACAAATGGAATCAGGAACCCCACCAAACAATCTGATCATGTTAATAATAGCCTTTGCCTTACATTACTGTATCAGCTGTCATGTAAAAAAACTTTTGTATTTTATATTGTTGCCTAGTTTTATTGGCTATATATTTTAATAATTACAATATAAAAAAATTATTATGGAGCGTAGCAAATCTATTTTCAAACATGGAGCGTAGCAAATCTATTTCCAAACACCTATATTATATAGCAGGATTATATATTCCTGATGTTAAGTTTAAATGCGTTCCAATTCAGATTTAAACATGCTTTCTAGCAAGCTATAAATTATACGCCGTTACTGCTTGCAATTTGTTTTTCCATAGTTTTAATCAATAATAAGCTCTTTAGTATGACATTTGGAAATTTGCAGCAGCCATTAGTCATAGATAAAATTAATGTGTATGGTTTAATTACTGATGGTAGGTGGGATATGAAATAGCCTCTCTTGTGTTGCTTATTAGCAATTCATTTCATAGATAAGGAGGCACATATGTTATGTAGGCTCTTAATAGGTCAACAATTACCTTAATTGTGTGTATGGAGGTCATGGGATGCTTGAGTGCATGCATAATGAAATGCCTAAACTCGCAGCATAGCTTGTGATCTCTAATTATGCCATATGAATCATTCACTGACAACACTGAACAGTGTATCTGATTACATAACAGCTTCAGGAACTCCTGCCAATATGAAAGTCTCCCTTTTGCTCACATCAGATGGTCTTGCCAGGCTGTATCTGTTCACAGTGAAAAACAAATGCGCGCATTGCTGCCACTTACAGGAGTGACTGGAAAAGCTTTAATTGGCCGCAGTGCCTTGTAATTTATATACGAGCATGAGATCCAAATTTGAGATCTGCGTAATGCTCCATTTAACTTATGTTTAATGGCTTAGTAATAAAAGCCAGAGAAACGACATATTTCAAACAGGCACAGTTTGTAAAGCTTTGCGCATTTTCACTAGGCATGAATGTGTTTTAATGCCTGGGAATCTCACACTAGGATTAGCTTATATACGGGTGTGTTGAACTCCAGTTACAGGGTCTAGCAAAAAACATACTGGTGCAAGCGAGGAATGTGGAACTCTTGTTACAGTTCTCACACAACATGTTTCCTCCTTTTCAGGGGCCAGCAATTAGTTGCACAAAGCGAAGGCAGCAAGAGGTTTTAAAGATGAGAAATATGATGAAAGATGGACAGAACAGGTGTGAGATGCATGTCCATCCAAGCATCCTACTAAATGCCCAGTATATCCAGGGACAATATTCCCTTTGCAGACAAATGAGATAAAAGGCAAAAACAGGATATTTAACTGAACATGTCCAAAAGATTACTCCTTTGAATTGCTGGAAGAACTACACTACTATTGCTCATAGGATTTAAAATTGGCTACACTGTACCAGCTTTTTTTGCTCTGAAACAGATTTCAACGTTGAGAGAAATAAATGGGTAGTGAAGGGGGCAGGGAATGATTAACACTGAGCTTAGCACTTGTCACAAAGATTTTTCAGCATCTAATACCATCACTGTTACCAACCATGTCATCAGCCTTTCCTTCATGATACATGGGAACAATTCTTTCAGTGTGCGTGCATGAAATGAAATATCAGTCACTGCTGCATTGAATTTGGGATGGAGGTTTGTTTATCTCTGGTTAAGCTACTGCAGTTGCTTTGAGCTTTTTTTCTGACAGTTTGCTGTGGATAATAGCATGCTGCTGCTCCGTATACTATGGTATGAAATGTGCTCATTAGTGCAGAGAATGGAACAGGCATGTTCATTCTACAACTTACTAGGGCAACTAGTTTTAACCTGGAGTGAATCCACGACTTTTATAATGTCATTATTCTTTTTAAACGCATAGTACAGCTATTGAAAAAATAATAATTGTGCATGCAATAATAGAACAAAAGTGCATTTTTTTTTGCATTCAAGTCTGCAAAGCATTGCAACGGTGTTCAGTGGATTGCAGGTGAAATGCTCTGGCCTCTGCAGACTCATCCTACCGGCCCCAGTAAGAACTTTCAGTTAAGGGATGGAAGGAAGTGCAAGTCTCTGCTGCAGTTGCAGACATGTCTTGTAGTCCTTAAACTCACAAATCCTGTCAATGGATCACACGGCTGTGTGGACAGAGCCACACATAGCTGCACCAAATTAAAGAAGTAACAATAAAAAAAACCCTGTTGGGGAGGGTTGGGGGGAGTGTGGGGGTTGCAGATGTAGCCATGTTTCATGTTACGCTCTAAACATGGATTAAAAAGTAAACTCAATTTTTAAGACCCCGGTGATACTTTACAAAATTGTGCAATGTTTGAGACAACTAAGAAACTCAAGCTAGTAGTTAGTCACCATCAGCTGGACTTGTAATGTTGAAGACACTACAAAGCTTATCCAATCCACTTCTTCAGTTTTAACATTTTGAAGACCTTATATAGCTGATCCAAGCCACTGCTCCACTTGAGAAATGTTGAAGATATTATATAGCTGATCCAAGCCACTTCTTCAGTTGAGAAATGTTGAAAACATTACATACAGTAGCTTATTCAAGCCACTTAATCAGAAGTGAAATTTTGAAGACATTACATAACATATTCAAGCCACTTCTTCAGTTGTGAAATGTTGAAGACATTACATAAACTTATCCAAGCCACTTCTTCAGTTTAAAAATATTGAAAACATTACATAGCTTAACCAAGCCACTTCTTCAGTTGAGAAATGTTGAAGACATGTCATAGATTATCCAAGCCACTTCTTCTGTCACAAATTGCTGAACAAATTTCATAGATTATCCAATAGCTTCATAGCTTAGATTCATAGCTTAGTCAAGCCACTTCTTTAGTTGTTAAAACTTCCCAGACACATAAGCAACTGTAGTTAGCATGACTAAGATATAAATCTCATGTGGTATTAAGAAGAGGCACTCCCATCTGCTTAGAGAGTGCCAAGTTCATCTAGAACATCAGCTGATTTGATAGGCAGAGTCAATTCTAGTGTTTTCAGCTGCTCGTTAATGTAATCAGCCTGATATAAATAACCTTATGACTGTCCATGTCCATGTTTTAAAAAACTTGTACCTATCTAAAAAGTTTAATTATTTTTGTATACAGGGACAGTATATGCTGGTCACATGCGCAGAATGGACTTTTTGTTTAGTAATGTGCGATGTGATTGTGTTGTTTTTGTTCCTTTCTCTCAGTGCAAATATACTGTATCAGTTTGGTCAACAATACAATATCTAGGGTGAAAACAATGCAGCCCCTAGCTGGTTTATTCTGTTATCTTAGTCATTTATGTATAGATTTATAGATGTATAGATTTTCTCTTGTTAGCCCATGGGCTGAATAAAAGTAAACCACATGGTTCCCCCATCCATGCTGTCTGAATACCTGAACAGTGACTGCATCTGACAGGATGCAGTTAATGTTCATGTGAAAATTTCCAACCTGCACAGTCGATCTTTATATCAACTATGAGCTGGGTGGTTCTGACAGGTCCACTTATGGCTTGTGTTTATCTGATTCAGCCACATTTCAAGCAATGTATGCCAAGCTTAAGCAAGGATGCTAACAGCACAACATAATACTAGGGCTACATGGTGGCTCTTTACTGCTAAAAGTTTTAACCCTTGTTAGCAGTCACCTCTTAATGAGATGATTGCCAGCAATGGTTAAATCTCCCAGTAGATAAGATAATGAACCCCCATGAATGACAGCGCGATATGCTACCTTCCATAAATCGCAGCACTGACAGGACCAGATGCAATCTTCCATCACTCTATATGGATAACGTACTATGTAAAATACTCATTTCCTTTTTGCTATAAAAAGGAACTGATGGGTGCCAGCTGGCACAAAGGGTTTTCAATTAGTCAAAAAATCTCTGTGTACAATACCAAGTGCTGCTGCCGATTGGAAGCAATTGCTATTCCATCCTAGGGAAACTGTGCAGAGTAATCCTTACCCATAATTTAAAACAATTAACATTAAAAAAGAAGAATCTGAAGTCTTTAAACAAAATACTCTCATGAATTGCAAAAGAGCAAACATTCAAAAATATGAGAATCACAACAAAAATAAAATTAATGTAAACTGGAATGCAGTATTGTGAATGTATATGCCAAAATAAAAGAGACATACATGTATTCCATTGTGCCAAAGTATTACCATTACAGTTATTTTGAAATTATGTTTGATCCTTACCAGTTGCTCTGTGTGGTGTGCTCAGGGGGTAGGAATTTGCTTCACACCAGCCTACAGGGAAAATATTCACTGATTCCACATCAATTATATATTCTGGAGGTGGCTGTTGTAATCCTGAAATAAACCAAGTACATGTTGAATCAGTTTGTACCAATTATTCATTGTATTTCTGATGTAGGAGAGCATAAATCATAAAAAAATCTCCACTGTGTGACTTCAAGCTTTTATTCAGATTGCACAGAGGGAGGTAAACATCATGTATATTACCTGGGATTATAATTGTAAACAAAGGAGTTGTATGTTTGTGTTGACATCATTGGCCTTATGTGGCCACACGGCCATTTTTGACCAATGTCATTGACCAAATATAGCCATATAAGGTCAATGAAATCACTGCATCCCTCCCCTTTGCTAATTGGAAGCTGCGGGCAGGGAATTCCCCAGAAGAATCTGATTGGGCAGCATGGAAGGTCATTTGATGTCACTGGTTGCCAGGAGCAGAGGGGGATGCCGGCCAGAGCAACCCAAGTTGCTAAGAGCTGGGTGGGGAGATGCAGTGCCCGGCTCTCATCGGCGTCACTCTACACCAGCACCCCCTCTTATGGTGCACACCACCAGCCAAATACTTTTGCAAGCCATATGTAAAAAAACATTTTATATTTTTTAAAAATACAAAATTGTATTTGATAGTCATTTTTATATATGAATGGAGCACAGCTTTAATACTGAACATTTTTTCATAAATATTCTGATGTCGCCATATAAATTTGAGTGTATGTATTCACCGGTTCAAGTTTCTATAACTAGTTTCCTTTTTTAAATCTTAGTTTAACTTTACTAGCTAAGAGCTAAGATTTTATTAGCTAAGAGCTAAGACGATTTTTATTACAGTAGATACAGCTTTTTGTTTATTCACTAACAAATGTGAAATATGATCAACACAACTTCCTTTTCCATTTCTGTGGTAATGTGTCTGATATATGATCTTCATATAGAAAGAGGGCATTCTTGTATGCATAAGTGTGTGCCTATCAAATAAAATGCCTACAGCAAAATAAACACACATTCTGTACCTTCAAGATGGAGCCATAGTAATCTCTCTTTTACTTTGGTCACAGATGCCACACAGATTTCTGAGGGATTATTTGGGTTAACAGCCTCCAGTTTCATGCTTTTTGTGAAACCACGAGAGTTGGATGTCTGAAACCAAGGTGATGACAAAGGTAACTTCTAAATACAAACTGGAACATATTTGTAAAGGTATATATATATATATATATA